ATTATTATTCTTTTTGAAGGACTTTTGAAGAAAAAATTGGAAAATACGATTCCGGTTCCAAGTTATGGCGAAATTCCTGATTTTAAAGTGCAATTTTGTCGCCCCTTTTTATCGAAAATGGCTGAGTATATGAACCTTTTTTTGACAAAATTTTGTGGACGGGATTTCTCGAAAACTATTTAGCGGTTTTCAACGAAACTTTCACAAAAAATGCGTCATTACATGAAGTTGTGCAGTCTATAATTTTTTTTGGAAATTTCGCTTCCGGTTCCAAGTTATGGACAATTTTCTGATTTTAAAATGCGATTTTGTCGCGCACTTTTATCGAAAATGGCTAAAGATATGAACTGGAGACTTTTTGGAGACGATAGCACTTGACTTCCTGGTTTGCAGAATCACCTTTTTGTGCGTCGTCAATACTTCCGGTCGTTACGAGATGCAAATTCAGAAACTTGTATTTTTCTAACTTTTTTGTTTTTAAATATTTTTCAGTTATATTTGGTATGCTAATAGAAATCTTTCTTATAATGTTCACTGTATAATTTGTTTGAATATTGATAAATCTAAACTTTAGATATTAGCATTTGAAAAGCTGAAGCGAGTCTAAGATGGCGGCTGTCCCTGTCAACTCCGACATTTCGCAATGGGGGTTTACGGAGTCAGCCGAGCGTTTGCTTGAACGAAAGTAACATAAGGAAAAATGAAATGTAAAGGAATACTTGGATTGTCACGTCGTAGTTACGTTGCAAATCTGTGTCAAACTATGTTCTTCTAAACGTCATCTATAATTAGATTTGGCTGGTTCTCAAAGAAGAAAAAGAAAGACTAAATGTGCAAATGAAATTCGATACCTAATACCTTCTGATTTGCAACACGTGAAAACAGATCTTAAATCAAAGTTATAAGTAATAGTTTTTCTAGAAACAATGTCAATGAATATAGTAAGTATAGAATTTACAAACTGTTTTTCCAATGCACACTTGTGTCATATTACAACAATAGAAAAGACAAAATAAGATAACAGTTTTTTAAAAGATCGATAAATGAAGTTTATATCAACATTCTTGTCTCAAAGATCTGATTCAAGTTATTGGGCATAAATGGTATCCGATTCCTTGATTGTCTTCGGGCAACACATGTTTTTCGGCAAAATATTTCAACCTTTTCATAAAAGCTTATGGATACAAAATATATATAAACAGGAAATTTTAAAAAAGTTTAATTCAATAACTGTTTCATTGCTTTAGTGTTACTTGCTTATATACAATATGAAATTTGTAAAATGTGTTTCTTCACCTTGATATTTTAGCTATAAGAACGTTCTTTTTTCTTTCCATTGAAGCTATCACACTTATTTAATGGAACATTCTCAACAAAAGGCGCGACGATTTACTTCAGGCGTTTGACGCAAAATTATGAATAGTGATTCGCCTTTCATAATTCTAAGACAGATGTACTGTTGCAGAAATATAATTATACAAATACATTTAAAGCTGTGGTACCAATAGTGTCATAGTAAGCGCATTGGATTTTCACGCTGGCGATTCGGGTTTAATCCCCTTTCTTTCCATAAAAAGTTTGATCACTTTTTTCAGCTCGAGTTTGTGTTTTTTTTTCAGAATCAGACGGAAGACCTCTCGTTGCTCGCAACGAGTTTCTTTTCTAGTTATTATTATTTTTCATTATTATTTTTTTGACCTTTTCAAATCGCGATTTCTCAAAAACTACTCGATGAATTTCAGCCAAATTTTCAGGGTTGATGTGTTTTGTCATGCCATTCTGAAATATGAAAGAAAATTGGAAAAATTCACTTCCGGGCACGAATTATTGCGATTTTTCATTTTTTTCACTAAAAATCTAGTCCGTGAATGTTCTCAGAAACTATAAAAGGTAGGACTCTGAAACTTTCAGGTATGATAGAGGTTGGTTTGAGAATGTGTGAAAAGAACATTTCGTGTGTCGTCGCCACTTCCGGTCGTCACAGGAAGTGATTGAAAAAGGGTAATTTTTTGAACTTTTTTGTTTTTTAATCTTTTTCATTGATATTACTATGCTCAATAGAAACTTGATAAGGAATACTAAATATGTAATTCAATTTAAAATCGAAAAAACAAAACTTGAGATATTTGCATTTTTAAATTGAAGCGATGTTCCCCAATTACGTAATGGTTAGCGAGTTGGATTTTCACGCTTGCGACCCGGGTTCCATCCCACATATGTCCGAATTTTTTTTTTAATCACATTTTTCATTTTCTTTCAATATCGGACGGAAGACCTCTCGTTGCTCGCAACGAGTTTCTTTTCTAGTTATTATTATTATTATTCCTGGGAAAATTTTGTCCTCGAGTGATCTTGTAAACTATACATCCGACTTAGGTAAAACCTTTTTAGGGTTAGTAGGCATGTTATGTAGAGTTGCCGAACGAAGGTCATTTTGCGCGCACGTGCTTGCAAGAGCGGGCACGTGCAACACGTGAAATGACCAATAAAATGTATATTGTTGTAACTTTTCTATTTTTTGATGAAATGTTTTGAAACTCATAATGTAAGGATATATTAGTAGTATAAACAAGATGACATGGTCATTATAGCAAGATCTCACGCGCATGCACGTGCGCTTCGCTCTGATTGGCTGAAACTAGAGTCTCAATATCTGTTTTGTTTTACGTCATAATCATTTGAAATTTTGAACTTAGTCACACATTATGAAGGTCTACAGCATGATATATAAGAATGTTCATGAAAGCACGTACATGCACGTGTGCTGGCAAGAGCGCGCACGTGCAACATGTGAAATTACCAATATAATGAATGAAGCCTTAACTTTTCTATTTCTTGATGGAATTTTTTGAAACTCACAATGTATGGATATATTAGTAGTATCAACAAGATGACGTGGTCAAAATAGCAAGATCTTACGCGCATGCACGTGTGCTTCGCTCTGATTGGCTGAAACTAAATTCTCAATATCTTTCTTGTTTTACGTCATAATCCTTTGAAATTTTGAACATAGTCATACATTATGAAGATCTACAGCATGAAATATAAGAATTATCATAAAAGCATGTTAATTTACGTATGCTGCAATCTGATTGGCTGAAACTTTAGATGCCTATAACTTTGTTGTTTCTCAACAGAACAGGACGAAATTTAGAATATGAATAGAAATAATGAATTCCTACATGATACTACTATCAAGATTGAATACAAGGGCGTGCTTGCATGTATTTGCGCAAGCGCAATGCGAAAAATGAACAATGTATTTGAAAAACGGTAACATTTTTATTTTTATGACTTTTTATTGATTCTTAGAATATAAAGATATGTTAATAGTTTAGACAACATGCAATGATCACCTTGCATGTGTATGCACGTGCGTTTGCGTGCAATGCGTTAAATGACAAAAAATATCAGTGTAGCTTTAAAAATTTTTTTATGAAATCCTGCGATAACTGAGCATCTTAAAAAAAAGTTTTAAAGGAAATTGGCACAAAAAGGGAGTTGGGGAGCATTTGGGGAACATCTGTAACGGTCCCCGTTACAATTAGAACTAGTTAACAATGATATTAATCCTCTAATTAACTATAGTGCAAACAATTAGTCAATCAAAAACATTAGATATAGAATCAAATCAACAATTAATTTAGACTAAATAAACACTGCTCTTCGTATCAGAATTTGAGAAAAAAAATTCCAAGTTCGTAAGGGAAATAAATAGAAGAAATGTTATACTCGTATGTTAATTTTTTAATTCAAATACATATACAAGACATAGTATACATGTACTTAAGTATTGGGCGAACCACGTATAGGGCGAACAAGATTTTGGGCGAAGAATATTTCGGGCGAACGGACTCTGTGCGAACGGACTCCTGCGAACAGGTAGATCGGGCGAACGAACCCGTTACCTTTAAACCTTCGCTGCTGAAGAGTTCCACAATAATCTGTGTCCAATAATTCGTACTTCTACTATTTCTTATAAGAATGATCTATAGTATGAATTATTGGAAACAGATTATTGTGGAACTCTTCAGGTGCGAAGGTTTAAATGAATAGCAAACAGCCATCATGCTGTCAGGAAAAATAAACAACTTTATATTTTACTGGATTTAAACATTTTAAAGGTAAGAAAGTAAAGTTTTATAGTGATAGACACTTTAAGGGATGTTCAAAGGAAAAAGTTGAGGCGGGCAGCTAATTTATTTCAGCCTGTATTTATTGAAACCAGCTGCCGAAGTCGGAGCAAAAAACCCCGAATCACGTTGTGTGGGACTGGTCTGAGATGGGTAGTAGACGTCAGTCCAAATTTTCAGTCTCTACCCATCTCGCTGAGATTACGAAAAGTTATGAAAAGTCTTTGTCTTCATAAACCGTGTACAAATTATCATAAGCTTCTGTAAAGGAATTTTGAAGATGTACGTTTAACTTTACAGCCATTCGTTTCTTCAATACGATTGAGTCAACCATTTTTTTGTCACGAGTAATCTAGGTATTGACGTCATTTCAATTATGGTTTTGTAAATATAGAGATAGTTCGTAAACTTTTTAATCACCCCTCATACTGTACTGAACATTATAAAGGTGAAACTAGTGGGGAAACTAATTGAAAGTGGGAGGGCTAAACCAACTAAAAAGCTAAACCACAATTTTCAATGCCTATATAATGTCTATCTTTGCAATAAAAAAAGGGGGACAAAGCCCTCCTAGCCCCCCCCCCCCCCCCGTTTCGACGCCTTTGCACTAATAATTACACATTTATCAAATATTATATTTCTGAACAGTTAGTGGACCTTAACTAGCTGTTAAAAAAATAGTAGCTGGTGTCCGAAACCAAGATTTTCTCCATTCGCCATTACCAACAGTGAAAATGTTGTTATGTACAGTGTTTGAATTCATATTTCTCAAAACTGTCTGTAAAGATATAAAAATTTAATCATTTGTTTCAGATATATAGTTTAAATATAATTATTTATTTCAGTTCATTCCTCTATATTTGAAGTTCACAAGAAAAACTCTGCCACTATCTATTTACAACACAGTGAGTCTATGCTTATTTGATGTACTGGATCACTTGAATTTCTCCTGAATAAATGAATCCTACCCACAGCCTTCCCTCACTATCCACACAATAGGTTTATTTAGTCTGCAATTGTCTACACATTTCAGGAACTGTCCATTCTGATCTAGGATGTGTAGACAGGTATTGTTATTATCTGTCACAATAATATGACTCATTGAGTCTGTCACTATAAGTCTAGGACTAAATGGCTTCTCTCTCCTGGCTGGTGTACCATCGTATTTGAATCTAACTCTTCCTGTCTTGTCCACCACAATCACAATGCCAGCATTAAGATAAGAGACACAGATATCTCCATTGTTGTTCTCTGTCAGATTTAATACACAATGTCCTTCTTTAAAGATTATATTTCTATGTTCATCTTTATAAATTTCCTGTCTCAGTATTTTCCCCTGATAACGAAGTATTTTGTTTTGTCTTTTACTTTTGACATTGACCAGTATGTTTCCTGACCTTGTACAGCACAGTCCTCCTGGTGTCCAGCCCTGTGGTGGGGTGATCAGTACCTCTGTCCTCCCATCTCTGACAATGTTTACTGTTCCATTGAAAGAATCAATGTGTATGAGTTCTCCCTGTCTGGTCACAGAGATTTCATAAGGACTGAGTACAAATTCGGCGGAAACAGGTTCCTGTAGTGACCCATGTATGTCAACACGTCTTATAATTCCGAAACCACCACTAACCCAAGCTTCATCTTTTCCTACACAGGCCACTTGGCATAGAGGTTGAATTCCAGTAGGAATGGTGGCTATCACTCTGGGTTTTTCTAATAACTCTCGCATTGATAAATACAAGGAAACTCTCTCTGTAAGACTGGATAATGATGTCTGTGTTAATGTAGCCTTGTATTCTCCTAATTCTATGCTTAGTTCTCTCCCTTGGACTGTATTTGTATTCAGTGAAGGAACTTTAACATCAATGTCAGCAGGTATGTCTCTGTATTCTGTCAGTTTGGATTTGTAGTTGTTGACATCAGACACTTTGTCGGTCTTCAAGATTTCTTTGTTTTGGTCAACAGTTTGCATCAAATCTGGAATATGATTTTTATACTTGGATTGGTGGGATTTTAGAGAGGTGAGATAGTTTTCTCTTGTAAACTTGATCATGGAGTCAACTTTGTTGAAGTTGTTATCGACTTCTCGGTGCCATAGTTTTCTGTGTTTTTCTGCTTCTATTTCCAGTTCATCAAACTTTGCTGTTGATGTTGAGATTTTGCCCGCTATATTGTCCATTTTCTTCTTGTACATGGGAATAATGATGGATTCAATTTCTTGGTTTTCTTTTAAAATTTCATTTTTCTTTTCATTGAAAATCTCTTGCATGTCTACAATATCGTGTCTTTTATGGGAACTGAGAAATTCATACATTTCAGACAGACATGGACATGACACTGCTGGCAGTGTGCCTCACATCTCTGGTTGGAGTGAACCTTACACTCAGGAAACACTGGCTGGATCTTCCTGTTGGTGAAATGAACAATGTCGTGTGTTTGGGACTTGAATTTGTCCACATGTTTACTGACACAGTCCACACATAAACTGACTTGACAGTTGTTACAGAACTGCTGAGTAGGCTTAGGACAAAGGTCGCAGGTTATGACCTCCTGAGCCCAGGGAGTAGGAGTAGCCATTGTCTTGCTAAGGGATGGAACTGAAATATAAATTTTAAAAAACAGTTCTGTAAATAAAAGTCACATGTAGCAGATTTACCTGTATGAAACAACTAGGTATTTAAAATATCAACTATTTCAATCTTTTTAAGCGCTTTGTAGAACATTTGAAATATTTTAGAGTTGTATACTGTATAATTTACATAAGAATAAAAATTCTCTGACTTTGTAAGGTATAACTATAATAAACTTGACTTAAGGATTGTTTTAGGTTTTTATAATGAATAAATGATAAACTGTTTTGGAAATCTGTATTGAATTACCTTTATAGTTCCAACCTTTCAAGACTATAACTGTTAGGAAAGAATAAACATTTTATCTCTCCACCCTAATATTCACCTGACTGGGAACTACATTCGGTTTGATATTAATTTTCCTGGTTACCTATCAGTTTATTGAACAAGTGCAGAGGGCTCTCTTTGTAATCAGTGATCTGTGGGATGGATAGAGAAATTTAAATGGTAATATTATCAAACAGAGTTATTTCTCTTTGTATATACTGGGTATTTGATGCTAGGGTTTCTCTTATTCTTGAAAAAGCTGTTGACGAATGTCATCTGTTTTATACTATTCAAAGTTCTTCTTATTTTCCGAATTTCATGCTTCCCCTCCTACTTAAATTGCATAATTGTCTTAATGAGTAATGAAGATAAATTAATAAAGTTAAAACATGCTTCTATTCAATTGCAAAGAAATTTCCCCGACATAAAGTACTGAAAAATTTATTGTCATGACAAATTTCCAGATTTATTTAATGCATACATTTAAACAATAAAAATAGCAGTTGGAGCTGTAAATTCATGTATAATAAACAACTGTCTTTAAAAATAACCATGTTTAACTTTATATATTACATGTAATATTACATGTTTAACTTTATATATTTATATATCAAGACCCTTTTATAGGTCACCTGAGTAAACTCAGGTGACCTTTTGCTATCTGTTTTCGTCCGTCGTCGTCCGTCGTTCGTCGTGCGTTAACATTTGAACATTTTCAGCTTCTTCTCTGAAACCACTGAACCAATTTCAACCAAATTTGGCATATAGCATCTATTGGTGAAGGGGAACAAAAATTGTGAATTTCATAGTCCCTGCCCCCTGGGGCCTGGAGGTGGGGCAAAAACCACTAAAATTAGTGCAATCTTTAAAAATCTTCTTCTTTACTCCTGGACATCAAGCAGTCAAAGTGTTGGTATGAATGTCATCAGCATTAAGTCTTCTACCAAAATTGTGAAATTCATGGCCCCAGGGTCAGGTGTTCTAGTGCTAGGGCGGGGCTAAATAGGTTATATAGTGAAAATGCATTATTTCTTTGAAATTCTTCTTTTCTGCTCCTGGACATTAAATAAATTAACCAAGCACATAGTTGAGTTGTAAATGACTGCCTCTTCCAAAATTTTGAATTTAATGACCCCAGGGTCAGGGGTTATAGTGCTAGGGTGGGGCCATATAGATTATTATAGTGAAATTGCAATAATTCTTTGATATTCTTCTTTTCTGTTTGCGGGCATTAAATAAACTAACCAAATCATAGTTATGTTGAATAAGGCTGCCTCTTCTAAAATTGTGAATCTAATGACCCCAGGGTCAGGGGTTCTAGTGGCAGGGCGGGGCTATATGGATTATATAGTGAAAATGCATTATTTCTTTGATATTCTTCTTTTTCTGCTCCTGGGTATTTAATAAACTAACTAAGTACATAGTTATAATGAGTAAGAGTGACTCTTCAACTATTGTGAATTTCATGGCCCCAGGGTCAGGGGTTCTGGTGTTAGGGTGGGGCTCTATTGTTTATATAGTGAAAATGCTTAACTCTTTCATAATCTTCTTTTCTGCACCTAGGTATTAAACCAATGAAATATGTACATAGTTATGAGGAGGAAGGATGGCTCTTTGAGATTTGTGAATTTTAGGGCCCCTGGGTTAGGGCTTCTTGTATTAGGGCGGGGCTCTAATGTTAAATAGTGGAAATGCATAAATTCTTTGAATTTTTTTTTCCTTTGAACCAGGGTATTAGGGCAATGATCTTCGTATATATTTATGACGAAGAAGGCTGCTTCTTCCAAAAATGCTTAATTTCCTGGCCCCTGGGACAGAGGTCCTTGGGGGAGTCTGAAAATGATTTAATGCTTTGAAATCTGCACTTTGGTATTAATCAACAACATGATGAAATAAAATTCATAAAATTTCCAAAATTTTGAAAGATGTGGCCCCAGGGTCAGTGGTTCCTGAGGGATGGGGTGGACAACTGATAATGATAAAGTGGAAATGCATTTTCCCTTTGTTACTGTGATCTACATGTACCTCTGGGTATTACTAACCAAAGCAAGTATGCTGAGTGCATAATTATGATAAGCAACAGTGCCTCTTTCAAAATTGTGAATTTCATGGCTTCCAGATTAAAACACGAATCAAATTCAATTGTTGGAAAGTTGTTGCATGATACTCAGGTGACCTAAAAGGCCCATGGGCCTCTTGTTTGTTGGAAATAAACGAACATGGTCCACAAAATTTTTTGAGCTTTAGATTAATATTGGTATGAATCATTCTGCCTTGAAAAAATTACAACGAAATTTTGGAATCTTAATTGCCTTCACTGCGGTGAAATAGGGCCAATTTTAAATTTTTTAAAACCATTTTTGTAGTATAATATAAAAAATATGTACAAATAATACATCATAAACAGAACAATCAATAAATTTAGAAAAAAAAAACAAACTAAGGGGCAAAAAACACTCTGAGTAAAATTAAGATTGAATGTCTTTGCTGTTTTAGAAACTACACCGAATCCTTAAATCAGGAACATGTGTTTCACAATCCACTTTTGTATAATGATGACGGAGAATTATAGATATTATTAGCTCACCTGAGCCGAAGGCTCAAGTGAGATTTTCTATAAAAAAAAAATTGTCCGTTGTCTCACCAATCTCGAAGACCTAGACTATCCAGATGACTAGACCACATCTAAAAAGCATATATGCAAAGGAACGCATAAAAATTACAGAATAATGCAAAAGAAAACATACATTTGTAACCAGAGATTACATAGCTCACCTCAACGAATGTTGTCTATAAGTAAGGCAACGTCCTACAATTAACTAACATTCTAGAAGTTTACAAAATGCAAAATTTATGCAATTTTGATCTGATAGGGCTTGCAGTTACTTGGGAATAGACCTATCCAAAAACTTCAAAATAGTCACTGATTCAAGAAAGTATAATTCAAATACAGCATCTGAAGCAAGTTTGACAGTGTTCATCCCCTGCTGCATCATCAATACAAGTTTGGTTAATATAGGCCTTATAGTTTCTTGGTGATAGACCTACACCCATAACTATCATCTGGTCCATTATCTAGAAAATGTATGTCGGATCAAACCTAGTAGTATGCATCCTTAGATATATCACCCATGCACGTTTACTGAACATAGGGCATATAGTTACTTGGAAATGAGACCGGCACCAAAAATTTAACCTGTTCATTCATCCAAAAAATGTAGGTCAGATCCAACACAAGTACATGTGGTTAAAATATGAATAGAGAAAAACAAAGCTTTAATATTCCTTGAACAAGTTGAAAATCACGACACATGTCTTGAGCATAATATCATAAGCAATGGGATCATGTTGTATTGTAATGCTGATATTTGATTCTCTTCACTTGGTTGTCTCTCATTTCAGAAACAAACAGATTGTCCCTTGAATCTATACAGAGTCCAAAAGGGCCCTTTAGCCCACAGTCTATAAGGCCGAGGAACGTTCCATCCCGATCTATTATATGAACACAGTCATTGTCATAATCGGCTATAAGGATTTGACTCCGACTGTCCGTTGTGATCCCTTTGGGGTTGAACAGTTTTATTTTGGGAGAGGAAGTTTGACCCCTGTATATGAATCTCCGTTTTCCAGCTTGGTTTAAAACAATTACTGATTTATCAATGAAGTCCACCACACAGATATCCAAGTTCCCGTTTTCACTGATGCAATTCTGATTATGAACAGGATGTTCATAGATAGAGGTTCTGTCTTTGAGCAGTATGGATTGTTTCTCTGTAGAGCCAGAGTAACGAACAACCTTTAACCTCTCGTCCTTATTACTGTGCATGTTAACTAGAAGATCTCCAGAGCGGGTAGAGCAGACTCCGTAAGGTGTCCAGTTTTGTAGGGTTATAGACTCGGTGCCTTCATCTTTCACAATGTTTACAGTTTTAGCTATTGGATCAGTATACACCAGATCACCATGCTTTGTCACTGTTATGCCTCCTGGCCTGTTCTTTGACATGGTTCCTACTGTCTGGAGTATTTCCCCTCGTTTGCTGCTGAAGAGGTACATTTTATCTTCAGCTCCCCCTGTCCAGAGTTTATCATCATTTAGACAGGCCACAAAGTAAGGACCAAATAAAAATGAAAACTTAATTTTTATGGTGGTGTAAATTTTTGGTTTATCAAGGAAGTGTGTAACTACGGTTCGAGTTACTGCTTCTTGTATGCTTTGTTCTGACTTTATGCAGTGGCCTTTAAGATACAAGGTTGACTCCCTGGGACGTGATTTACCAGAAGGGTAAATGAGAACGGATTTTCTGTTTTCAAATTTGACCACTTTATGGACAGTAGTTTCGTCAGTTGAAATGTGTTCCCCCACACAGGCCCTGCAAAGGTTGATGAAGCATGTATTGCAGTGCATCTCTATTACGGTTGCCTTGCACACATGGCATCGTATCACATCCTGGGCACTAGTGCGAGGATTCATTGTTATATTTTATCTACATATAAAATTAAAAAAAAGAGTCATTAAACTCTGGGTTTCCATTTTGACAATGTGATTTAAAAAAAAAAGTTTTCCCCTCTTTAAATGCACTTTGTTGATACAAGTTAAATGAATTTTGCACGAATTTTCCTTAATAATTTGAATTTCTGTTTAACTTTAAAAAAACAATACTTCATAGGCGTTAGGTGGGGCTTTGCCCACCTCCCCTCCACCTTTTTTGCAAAGATAATCATAACATATAGGCATTGAAAATTGAGGCTTATTTTTATTAGTTGGAATAGCCACCTCCACTTTCAATTATCCCCCCCCCCCCGTTCAATTTAGTTCCGACGCCTAAATTATTAACTTATTTATCACTTCCATGGGTTTTATGGGTCTGTATTAAATGCCTTATATCCAAAAACTACCCTCTTTGTATTTATTGCCAAAGGTCGTTTAAAATTCTCATTTTTTTAATGTTAAATTTAGAAAGATTACCATGATAGTGCTCTTTTTAAATATTAAAGAGAAATACCTTAGGTATGCTAAAGCAAATTCCTCAAACAAATTCACATATCATTTCTCCAAAATGGTTTGCTAAGAAAAGGGTTACTTTATCAAAATTTTCACCTGAAAATCTCTTGAGCACATGACTAGAACTCTTATGAATTACTGCGTAATTTAAAGATCTGGGCTGCGGTTTCTGTTTAAATAAGATTTCTGTTGCACAATATAAACGCTGCAGAGTATTTACTTAATATCCATTTCAAATTTTACTTTAAAAGTGTAGGTGAACTTTGTATAATCTATCTTTTCAAAGAAAAAAAATGGACATACATAAAGTATATTTTTTTAACATTTTGAAATATTTTTTTCGCTGATCAGAAATTCTACTTGAAAATTACGAAAGCCGGATAGGCTCATTTCTGAAAAGATAAAAAAAATATTAACTCGTTATAACGAGTTAATTTTCTCGTTATAACGACTTAGTTATCTCGTTATAACGAGTTAGTATCTCGTTATAACGAGTTAATTTTCTCGTTATAACGAGTTAATTATCTCATTATAACGACTTAATTTTATCTCGTTATAACGACTTAGTTATCTCGTTATAAAGAGTTAGTATCTCGTTATAACGAGTTAGTTTTCTCGTTATAACGAGTTAATTATCTCGTTATAACGAGTTAATTATCTCGTTATAACGAGTTAATTATCTTGTTTTAACGACTTAGTTTTCTCGTTATAACGAGTTAGTTATCTCGTTATAACGAGTTAGTTATGAATTCAAAATGGCTGTAGTTTTAATGCCATTGATGTTTAGTTGATAATTATCGGTCATACTGCACTTTAAAATTGATAAAAAGTTGCAATTTTAATTTGCGATATGGTTTAAATAATATCAATCCTGAACTATCTTGCTGTCAATAATCACAATTTGATAAGTATAGCAATCTTTATTTACACATTAATACGTGAACGTCTCCAAGGACACAATATAAAAAAATCTATTACCAAATGTACTTGCTTCAAAGTTTGGCAATTTATTTATGACAATTTTCTCCGATAAAAGACACGAATTTTTCTGATGTGTTTTGGATGACTTATTAGCTTTCATAACCAATGTCTTAGTACCTAAATTAATACATTATAATAGGAAGCTAACGCAGGCGTTAATGCAACATATATAATATACACTTCCAGTGTGATATATATTATTTTGAGAGTCAGAAATGTTTTGAAGAAGGGGAATATGGAGGCATCAGCAATGAGGCCATGGGCGTAAAATTCGGGGGCTACTGCCCACAACATCAAAAGGCAGTCATAAGTTTCCGTATACATGTACATGTATTTGTCTTCGGTCTTTTAAGTATACAATACAAATCAACTGCGTCGTTTATACATAAACAGAATACAATCACAGGCACAACCCCTCGAAAGACAAAAATAAACTAATTTGCTGTTTTTCAAAAAAAAATCTTTATCATACACACTATAAACAAACTTGATCAACTCGGTTTTATATGTTATACTACTATACTTCCTATCACTTAGATATATCAACTAAAGATCAGTTTTTAACTCGTTATAACGAGAAAATTAACTCGTTATAACGAGATAACTAAGTCGTTATAACGAGATAATTAACTCGTTATAACGAGATAACTAAGTCGTTATAACGAGATAACTAAGTCGTTATAACGAGATACTAACTCGTTATAACGAGATAATTAACTCGTTATAACGAGATAACTAAGTCGTTATAACGAGATAACTAAGTCGTTATAACGAGATACTAACTCGTTATAACGAGATAATTAACTCGTTTTAACGAGATAACTAAGTCGTTATAACGAGATAACTAAGTCGTTATAACGAGATACTAACTCGTTATAATGAGATAATTAACTCGTTATAACGAGATAACTAAGTCGTTATAACGAGATAATTAACTCGTTATAACGAGTTAAATTTTTTTTATCTTCTCAGAAATGAGCCTATCCGGCTTTCGTAGAAAATTAATGTCCCTGTAGTTTTCATTTTTTGGGGTAGATGATTTTGATTCTTATGTTCTTGCATTCAAATACACATTTTTTTTAGCTTTAGGGGCCCCATATAATAGCATTATATACTTAAGTAATGCATCAGTATGTTAACTTATTCGTTGAGTAGTCTAATTAAAGAAAGTCAAAACAGAAACATATGTACTTAAATACATGCGGCACACAGTGAACTTTTTAAAGTATAAATATTTATTGTCAGTATATGAGTACGAGGGTTGTCCGTAAAGTTCGTGGACAAGCTAAAAATTAAATAAAAGTTGCGTCATTGATATTTATTATTACCATATTTATAATCCTTTACTAAATATGAATTGAAAAATGTAAAATTTTATTCAATTTAAAATGTTGAATTACAATTTTGGCGTCATAATTAGACTTGGAATGGAGACCCGGAGCACCGCGAAATTTTGATTAAAAAATTATTTATCACTTTATAAATTTCATTTCTATTTTATAAAATTCTGCAAATATCTGAACGACTTTTACGTTATGAGATTGGCAGAAGTAATCACGTCAAATCTGCAAAATTTGAAAGTTCAAAGTTGTAAATTGGCTGAGCAATCTGAGTTAGAACATATTAAGATGGATCGAAACTGTTAAAAAAGGACTTTTTCAAAATAGGTGGAACAACGAGCAGTGATAAAATTCTGCGTAGACATCGGAAAAACACCAACAGAGACCAAACATTCTGTAAACAATCTGGAAAACATAGTAAAAGAATCCGTTCATTAGTATTTAAGTGCATATAATATTTTCGGACAGAAGGAACAGTTTACAGGATGACATGCGTGAAGGAAAACCATCACTCCGAGATTGAAGTGTTGTAAAAAATGAATTTCGTAACGTGACTTTTCGTAGTTCCGTGAATAACATCGTTTTTTCGCAGACAGAGGTTAGAGGATTGCAGGCTATGAAACAGGCATTGTTAAAAAGTATTTTACATATGAAAACTGAACATTTTTTGCACATTTTAATGATTGGTTGAAGCGACATAAGAATGTATTGAGTTAAACGGTGACTATGTTGATAAAATTTACATGTGCTCGTTCCAAGTTTTTGACGTCGGATAATGTCAAGAATTTTCGTTTTAGTGCTCCGGGTATGAGTATGTGTCTTTTTTGTATCTGATAAAAATATATCTATTTGTGCTTTGTTTATGTTGAAAACTTGCATATTAATAAAATGAAACATGAATTTAATGAAAATAATACATGTAGTTTCATATGTTTTATCATGGTTTGTCAGTAATTATCAATGTTATCCACGAACTTTACGGACAACCCTCGTAGTTCTTATAGGTCATGAAGTTTGAAGATGGATATTATGTTTCATTCTCTTAGCTTGATTCTCTCTTATTTTACAGTTCTTTGAGTTGGATCAGTATAAACAATGTATATATCTAAATGATATTATTGTTTCTTCGAATTAATTGTCAATAGCTTGAAATTGTTCGTAGTCAGAATATACTCTTACGTATCGATAATTCTTCCAAAAATATGTAGGAATTCCCATAAGCAAAAATTTTGGCCTGTTATGAGAAGATTTTTGCACTTGTATGAAGGCAATTGATGAAAAGAAATCTACATGAAAAGAAAACACTTACTGTGGCCTTCAACTTTACTTTAAGATAAATCGACGACACATCATCAGTTAATAATTGTCACGTCCATTCTTATGATATATGCCTGAGAACTTTAATTAAAAGGTATCACGGAGTTTGAAACATCTCTGATGTGGAAGCTGATCTCTTCATAAGGAGCAGAAAAGCAGCAAAATAGAGAATGGGTCACTACTGGAGGTATTCTGCGGGATATAAAGAGAAAAACTTGTAACTGAAAAAAAACACTAATGATGACCTCAGTGATGTGCAGTGACTGAAAGAACACAATGAGAATTGCCCTATATCTTCAATTTAAAAGAACAGAACAAAAATTAAGCCAGTCTAGCTTTTTTATTTTATTTTGTAAAAATTCTATCTTTGTTTTAATTGAATACAAAGATTCATAGGGCTGTGTGACGTCAGTTCTCCTTTTTAACTCACCTCAGCTGAAATCTCAAGTAAGCTTTTCTGATCACATTTTGTCCATCCGTCCGTCCGTCTCTCTGTCCATCCGTCTGTAAACATTTTACATTTTTGACTTCTCCAGAACCACTTGGTCAATTAAGCAAGTGTTCATATGAAGACCCACAACCTCATTCAATGGGAGTTAATAAATAATGAAAAATTGGTACCGGTATCATGTTTTAAAAATCTTCTTCTCAAGAACCACTGTACTAGGAAAGGTTAAACTTATGGTGAAACATCCCCAGGGAGTATAAATTCAAGTTTATTAAAATCATGACCCCCGGGCGTTGTGTGGGGGCACGAGGGATGTTTAAATTTTACATAGAAATATGTGGGTAAAATGTATTTTAAAAATCTTCCTCTTGAGACAAGAACAA